TGGGTTCGAGACTTTAAAACTGTTAGCTTGTATGAACTATGTCGTGTGGTGGCAACTATGTGATGGACAACTATATATCTATGTATGATGGATGATTGTAGGACAAGTAATGCTTATTATCTATCGTATTAGCTTGTGCTTGTCTCCTTTTGTGAATGGTGGATGTTATTTTGGATGGCCTTGTGTTGTTTCAAGTTCTAATTTGAGATCTTGACCATCACATTCTCTTTTACTTGTTGTATGAATATAACATGTCATGTTGCATCTCCCTTTTTCACGGATATTCACTTGTTCACATACACTTGTTGCACCCCACGGATTGCAAAATTTAGGGGGAGTTTCTATCTCAATATATGCAAGTGATGTGTTGATGATCATCTTTGAAATTCAAATTCATTACATATATTAAGGGGGAGCTCTCTATAAATTTTGGGGTTCAAAAGGTTTAAATTCTTATATTTTTATGAAAGCCTAAGTTGATTGTCATCAATTACCAAAAAGGGGGAGATTGAAAGTGCATTTACCCCATATGTGGGTTTTGGTGTATTAATGACATCAAATTAGGGACTAATGAGATCTTAATGAGATATATTGCAGCTTTAGTCCCTTGAAAGTTTTAAAGAGTTGATTTAACATGAAATGGTATCCCTCAATTCTTCAAGTGCAAAAGGTGGACGAACCCAAAGCGCTCTTCAAAGCATTTTTATTCTGTTTTGGGTTTAGGTATGCCGTACTATAAAGAGGGATGCAAGTTTAGGTGGTGTGAGGAAGATAGAGTGCTCCAGCATAAAAATAAAATTTAAAGAGAGACACAAAATCACATCACAAACACTTAGATATATTTCTTGGACTTTTGGTAGCCGGAAGTTCCAGCGTGAGCCAGGAGTTTCGGCCGTCGAAAGTTCCGGCATTTGGTGACGGAAGTTCTGGCATTTGGTGTTGGAAGTTCCGGCACTTGAGGACTTAGTCGTCTGCCTGCCTGCGCTCGCTTGCCCGTCGAAAGTCCCAACAGGAATCGAGAGTTTCGGGTGCCGAAAGTTCCGGCTCCCGCCGGAAGTCCCTGCGCTTTGGGACTTAGCCTCCTGGCTCGGCTCTAGGTCAGGAGTTCCGATGTGAGTCAGAAGTCTCGACTGCCCGAAGTTCCAAAGTTCCGCTGAAAGTTCCGGCTCTAACTGTGTTGACCACCTTTGACTGCACCTTGAATAGTGTTTTACAAAAGGGCCGAAAGTTTGGGCGATCTGTGTCAGAACTTTAGACCCAGATCTGAACGGTTGGATTTCACTATGAGTATAAATAGCTCTCTCCTCTCTTCTAACCGTGAACCACTCATTCATTGCTCACAAACCTTTGTCCAAAACAGCTCCCAAGCATTCAAGGCACCCCTCTCCTCTCCCCTTTCCTCCAATCTTTGATTTCCCTAGGGTTTTGAGTGAAACGAGAGTGGATTGAGTGAGAGAATCACTTTGGCAAGCTTGAGCACATGATTTCTTCGTCAAGCCGGTTGGATTTGCGTCTATTACTCTTGGGTTCTTAGAACCCTAGCTAGCTAGGCGTCGCCCAAGAGATTGCATCATGTGGAAGAGTCTTAGAAAGTTTGTATTACCCTAGATTTCTTAGTGAAAAGCTCAAGTAACGTTTGTCATTGCTTTAGAGAGAGGTAAGGAGGTGAAAGAGACTCCGACCTTGGTGGTCACCTCAACAACGTGGACATAGGAGCTCCTTTGTGGGGTTGCCGAACCTCGGGATAAATCCTTATGTCTCGCGTGCTTGTTGTTGTTGTGATTTGTTATATCATATTTGTTCTTGTTGGTTTGTCTTCCTCTCCAACTCTCCTCTTAGGGTTTGGACTCGATCTACGGAGTGGTGACCTTTTGGCGTCAAAGGAGCAACCCCAACACTTTACCTTACCACTAGGGAGTGGGGTTGTAAGATATCTTTTACTCAAAGTTCATTTTAGCACTTGTAGTGAATTTTACATAGGTGCCGAAACTCCCGGCTGTTTGCGTCGGGCCCAAACAGTCGAAACTTCCGACTGTCACTTATATTTGACTTTGAGTTTACGCGAAAATTTTTAGACACGCCTATTCACCCCTCTAGGCATTGTTTAGATCCTTTCAAACTTTAAATCTATGTTTTTCTATAATTAATTCATAGCTGTAGTTTCTATGGTCCAATTGTGGTAAATTTTTTATGCTGAGCTAATTATTATATGCTTGAACTGTAGTAAAAAAATTATACTCATTGGATCATGTATAACTTAGTTAATAAATCTATAACTAAGTTATACATGATCCAATAAGTATAAAATCTTTACTACAGTGCAAGCATACAATAATTAGCCCACCATAAAAAAAATTCATCATTATTGGACCATAGAAACTACAGCTATAAATTAATTACAGAAAACCATAGATTTAAAGTTACAACTAAAAAATTTGTACTAAAGCATACCATATTATATGTTCACCGTGTAGATCTACTCATGTGGAGTCCAACAAAATTTGATTTTTTTTATTTATATGATTTTTCTGTGATTTACTATGATTTTTCACAGATTCAGCCGAAAGAAATAAAAAAGAAAGACAAAATCGCCTTTGAAAACCGCTTATAACCGGTCAGGGAAGTAAAACAAACGGTTTTAAAAGTTCAGGGAACCAGTTTTAGAGTTCAGGAGAAAAAAATAAATTTTCGCAAAAATTGAGAAAGGTAACGTAGACTTTTTCCTTTTTTTTAAAGAAAAATATCTAATTTATCCCCATCAGCTATCGCGGTCCTCTTATTTTCCTCCTTAACTTACAAAAACCAGTTTTTTCACCTCACTTAACTTTTAAAATTGTTTATTTTTTTAACTTGGGTGGTTGTACTGATGTGGTGCCCCATTAGAAGGGTAAATCAGACAAGTTAAAAGTTCAGGAATTTGTAAATGTGACTAGAAATATTTTTTTAAATATATTCAACAATTCATAAAAATTCATTTTAAAAATCTATACAAATATTTTGCATGAAAAATAATGTAATTAAAAATCCAAAATCTGGAACGTCGTCAGGACATTATTTGAGCTATCTTTAGAAGACATTATTTGGTTGTAAGCACAAACTGAATTAGTATGCCTAACTTTTCAAGTGGAGAAAGAGAGTTTGAATGGATGTGGGGGACGGAGAGAGTGACAGCGGATGTGAGAGAGCTTGCCCCGCCCACAATCCGCCTCCACCATTGGTGAAGGCTCTCTCTAAACCCATGCGCCCACTAGAGATGTCCTAACTGAGCTAACCCCTAAACCCTGGCATCCCTAAATCCTACTCCCTCCATTCCAAATTATAAGACGTTTTGGCTTTTCTAGATTCATAATTTTTGCTATGCACCTAGATATATGTTATGTCTAGATACATAACAAATGCTATGAATCTAGAAATATCAAAACGTTTTATAATTTGGAACAGAGGAAGTACCTACGAACCCGGAAGATGAGTTGGAGGGAGAGTTTGGATCTACAGGTGAGAGAGGGGAAAGCGAGAGGTTGAAGTCCACGTCACAATGGGGTCTATCCAAGTAGAGGTGGCAAGCCAAGTGGCAGCCACGCCACAAGGTTTCCACCCTTGGAGATGGTTTCACCTATTGTAAAACATATTTTTGCTAGCATTCGATAATGATAGAATTATGCACCCGCAACTCCACCAAGTTGATCCAAGTTCTGTTTGGTATCGATAATGACTGAAAAAATAGTGGTCCATGAAAATCACTGGATCGTAATCGTACGGTAACAAGTTGACAATCCAATTTATACAGAATCACAGCACAGCAACCTGAATTAAGGCTGAGGTACATCAAGTTCATGTACAATGGACGTGATATTGTCAAATTCTAGAAGAAAAGTGCATTACTAATTACAAATGTATAACATATATGGACGTGACAAATCAAGCCTCCATTTACATAATGGATGTTGTAAAAGCTAAATGTTCAAGAATAACATAGAACAAAGAGGTTCAAGTTATAACACAACAGAATATTACAGATAAACTCAGAATAATCCAGTTGCCAAGTGACTGAAACTACAACACTAGAAGTGGCACACAATTGTCAGCTCCGAAAATATTACGCGGACTGAAAAAGTGAAAATGTTGATAGTCGAAGTCAGGAAAAAAAAAGTATCCAAGCAGCACTATTGTTGCAAAAGTTAATTAAACCCAAGATGTAAGAAGAGCCCAAAGGACAAATCATGCTACTTCACTGATATTTGTAAATACCTCAGCAGTTGAAGACGATCATAGTAACATCATGGACTCGAAACTTTTCGCTACTAATAAAGCCAGATCCAGAACCACTTAACAAAGAAGGTAACAAACAGAAGAAACAAAGCAAAGGTAATACAACACCCAATGCTTGTCATGAAGCCCATTATGCTATAGGAGCATATATGAACTCTCTTGGCTTTATTGAAAAAAAAGTTATATTCAGCATGGGGCCGTGGGCAATATTGATATGCTATTGGTTTCCGATCAGATATGATGCCATTTGCACATGAAGAGTATCCTTAAACTTCAGAAGACTCATTGCTAAACTGGATAGCACATACTGCCAGAAGCCCAGAACAGTGGAAATTAACCTTCCTGGAGGCTGGAGTTCATGGTATACAGCCAAAAAAAAAACTAATTTCAATTAGTAGCTGAAGTAGAACAATACAAGCTGAAGCAGCTGCTATCAGGATGACACTTTTGCTCTTAACATCAACAGCTGCAATCAGGCAGGCATATCATCCTCTTCCAAATACCAAATTGGCATGGATTATTCATTCATTTGACTAATAAAGCACATAACATAGTCAGAAAAGTAAATGAAGATAATGTGAGATCATACTGCAATCATCCTTATTTCTTACCAGGAGAAGTATCGATAGTAACTTCGGTCAACCTCTACCCTGAGAACCACCATGTATATGAGCTACAAGGCAACAATCTGGATCCGAAACCCAACAGAGCAAGAAGCAACTGTGCTGTTTCTATGGCTGCTGCTTGGGGTCACGGTAGCCAGCATCCACCAGGACCTTCTCCTTCTTGGCGAGCTCAATGTCGTGATCAACCATCATCTCCACGAGCTGCTGGAACCCAACCTTGGGCTTCCATTTGAGCACCCTCCTGGCCTTGGTGGAGTCCCCCTTGAGGCTGTCGACCTCTGCAGGCCGGAAGTACTTCTTGTCAATGACCACATGATCCTTCCAGTTGAGCCCGGCGTAGCCGAAGGCAGCCTGCAAGAACTCCTCGACGGTGTGGGATTCCTCAGTGGCGACGACGTAATCGGCCGGCTGATCCTGCTGCAGCATGAGCCACATTGCCTCGACGTAGTCCCCCGCGAATCCCCAGTCCCTGGCCGCCGAGAGGTTGCCGAGGAAGACCTTGGTCTGCAGGCCGACCTTGATGCGGCCGACGGCGCGCGTGATCTTGCGCGTGACGAAGTTCTCGCCGCGGCGCGGGGACTCATGGTTGAAGAGCACGCCGTTGCAGGCGAAGATGCCGTAGGCCTCGCGGTAGTTGACGGTGTACCAGTGCGCGGCGACCTTGGCGGCGGCGTAGGGGGAGCGCGGGTGGAAGGGCGTGTCCTCGCTCTGCGGCGGCGGCGTGGAGCCGAACATCTCCGAGGAGCCCGCCTGGTAGTAGCGGATGGGCTTGCGCGACAGGCGGACGGCCTCGAGGAGGCGGAGCGCCCCCGTGGCGGTGACGTCGGCGGTGTAGTCGGGGATCTCGAAGGAGACGGCGACGTGCGACTGCGCGGCGAGGTTGTAGACCTCGTCGGGGGAGATGGCGTCGAGCGCGCGGCGGAGGGAGGAGGAGTCGGAGAGGTCGGCGTAGTGGAGCCGCATCGGGGGCCGTGGCGACGACGGCACCGCGTGCGGGTCGTGGTAGATGTGGTCCAGCCGCTGCGTGTTGAAGTTGGAGGAGCGGCGGATGAGGCCGTGCACCTCGTACCCCTTGGAGAGAAGCAGCTCCGTCAGGTAGCTCCCGTCCTGCCCCGTGATGCCCGTGATCAGCGCCACCTTCCGCGCCGGCGCGAGGGACCGCGGCACCGGGGCGGTCTCGCCGTCGCCGGCGGCAGTGGCAGTGGCAGTGGCGGCCGCGCCGTTGGAATGAGCCATTTGGGAAGCGAGGAAGAGGATTTGCCTCGGGAAAGCGGTCAGATCTGCGGGGGAGAGGGGAAGAAAAGCAGGGGAGGCAGGGAGTATTTGTAGGGCCCGCCTGCAGAGCCGATGCACCGGGGTCTGGTCCAGTCAAGTGTGCGTGTATATACTTGACAAATGAGCAAAGCAAAAATTATTGTTTTCCTTTTCCGGACTTTGTGAACAAAAATATCGGTGGCTGTATATTGCACATCTCCACTCCATCCTTTGGCTCCATGAATGTAGGCATTTTAACACCACAATATTGTGTATACTAATAATAAAGTGCTAAGATTTTTTGAACTAAAGATACATTTGGAACACAAGAATTTCACAGCGTACATGAATTTTACAGGAATTAATTCAATATCACAGGAAAAAACTATGAATAGGGAAAAAATTTCCATGTTCGAAACATGTCCTAACTATTGTGCTAAGAGCATATCCATCAAATCTCTTACATTGCATCTCCCGTAAATTATTTAAAAGAGTACCTTAAAATCGTTTTGGGGTATAAGAGAGCACACTGTTGTAGCAGATTAGATGTCTTGTATGGGTTCTCCTTTATTTATGATGAGAAAAGTGTATTTTTTTAAAAGATCTCTTAAAAATTATAGATATGTGAGATGACATAGGACTAGGAGATATGTTGCAGCGCCTCTATCTTCTAAATGCTACCTTTTTAGATACAGGAGATTGATAGCATATCCAGTGGATATGCTCTAAGATGTGATATAGGATTCGATAAGTTGAGGACTTCTTTGAAATGCAGGTTATCATTATCATATAGGAATTTTATAAAATCAATTTAATTTTATAAAAAAAGAATATGAGATTTAAGAAAAAAAAATACATGATGCACTTACGAGTCACATGTTTAAAGCATCTCCAAGTCTTTTTTAAACTTACTCTCAAAATTATTATTTAGAAGTCATTTAAATAAAAATCATTATCTATATATTTTCACCATTCAACAGTTTTTCTATATCTCGCCCACACTACTAGATAGTTAATCTCGCTCTCCATCTTTAGCTAGCGAGACATCTATAATAGAGAATAACAATATTTATAGATTTTAATTAAAAAAGATTGTCGGAGGATATTTTTCATCAAAATATATATTCCTATCAATTATCAATAATGAAGGATATATATATAGAGAGTCTTTGAAGTTACTCTTATAGGCCAGATTGCTAGAAGCACTCGTATGTGTGCTTGGTGACCACTTTGAATCGTAGCAAAGAAATAAACACACAGAAACTATGAAAAATATAGGAAAAGAATCAGATTGCAAAAACAGATGATTGGAAAACATAGAAAAGTGATAGAGCGTGCGGTTTTTCCAATCAAGAATCCATGATACATGAATCATAAAATATGGCAATGTTATATTTTATTTCCGACAGCTCTCTTACACACATGAGACCGTTAATGCAAAAAACAGTACTATAGCACAATCACAAAGTGCCTTTTTATCATCGTTGTTTTCATTTACGACGAAACAAACATCGGTCGTAACTCTCCTTTTCCAACCTTCATATCCCTATCCCATTGATCGCTAGGTAGGGACGCCATGGCCCATGGCAATGGGCTACGGCCTTTAAATTCCTGTGTTCTGTGAAGCGTAGGCTTGAAACATGTAAACTGTATTCTTCTTTTATTTTTCCTTTTAAACTATAGTCCTCCATAGTTTCTTTAAAAAGAAATTGTACTAGTGTGTTCCAAGCGGAGTCTTGTTTGGATCCATTAGCACTAAAAATTAGCAAGTAAAATTAGTACTATTTGATCCTAACAGACCTGCTAATAGACCTACTAATTATTAGTTGGAGGGTTGCTAACTATTAGTTCTATTAGCAACTTTAGAGGTGCTAATAGTTCATATGCACCTTCAACTCACTATCCAAACCATCTATTAGCATGTGGATCAAAACAGTCCCTGCTCAAAATTAGCAGCTATTAGCTATTAGCTAGCTATTTTTTAGTGCTAATAGATCCAAACATGTCCTTAATTAAACTCTTAATGGAGGGAATAATACTCTCACGCCTCAATCGGTTTTACTGGTTTGTTACAATTTTTTGGTTTTTTATTTATTTGTTTCTCAAGGCTGAGTGCTTCACAATTCCGCACGTGCAATAACTTATTCCGCACATGCAATAAACCTTCTAAGTTCACCATCGTTTTCGACTGGTTTGCTAGTACGAATACGAAAAATTGAAATGTCCATAAGTTTCCTAGTGCCAAAAAACACCCTGAAAGGTTAGCTTTAGCTATCTAGTACAGTACTGTTTACGGACTAATAATCAATAAGCATAATTTTCACACCTTTATCACCACCTTTCAGGGGTGATGTCATAGTGCTCGTGTTCACCATCGAGTTATTAATGTTAAAGAAACAAGCAGAAAAGTCAAATATCTAGTCTAGCCGATGTTCCTGTTCGGCTGATATTAAAGCCGGCTGAAGCTGTTTTATCGTGAGAGAAAAATACTATAGATTCTAGCTGATAAGTTCAAGTGAACGTACCCACTCATTTTATCATTCTATAAACGTGTGTGCAAATATTTACACTAACATCGGTTTAGAGAATGATTCGCGGTGTTTTATTTTACAAGGTGAGGACATGACAATATCTTACATCTCAAATAGTTCAAGGAGTGTTTTCCTTTCTATTTTTTTCTCTCTCGAACATGTACGAGAAGTGTGAGTTATTATATTAATGGCAAAAACATGATCAGATCATAAGCGTTTTTTTTTTTTTTTTGCGACTCACTGAATTCATTCATCAAGTAGACAAGGGGTTACAATCGTCGATCAGCAGGTTAGCTGCATAAGCTGGAGCCGAATGCCACACAGCCAGCCTATTGCTACATGAGATCATACGCGGATTTCGTATATATATTTATCACTGATCCCACTTAGCTTGTAGCACCGTATGGTACGATCGACTTAACAAATGCACCGTTGGTCCATTAACTTTTGGTGATGTGTTATCTAGGTCCATCAACTTTCAAATTGTATTTTGAGGTCTATTAATTTTTAATGGCATGTCATCCAGGTCCATCAACTTTTAAATTGTATTTTTTATCCCTAAACTTTTTAACTGGTTCACCGTAGGTCTATACCCCTTCGTTTAGCGAATAGATCTGACATGACACACCAAAAAAGTACTCACCGTGGAGTACAGGACGAGATCACCATCTAGGGTTTCTTGAGCGGTGGCTCGACGGGAAATAAACTCTACAATAAAATCCATTGTAATCTACCCGGTACAAGGCCGAAGGCCACAGGTATAGGCATACACGCCACCTGACTCAAACAAAACTCGGACTCTACCAGCCCAAATAGGACCGATTGACCCTAAGTCCCTGATTCGGCTAACATGCATGGCACGTCGAAACGCAGCCACCAATTTGATTCACGTACACGGGTGCACGCAGGCATTAAAAGCTAGATGCTAAATAAAAGATCGTGTATCACAACTGAATAGGAAACTAATGCATGGAAATAATAAAATACGTACTACAACAAGGATGCTAATCACGTTGCGAAAATTTCATTGATAATCTCCACCTCTTTAGAATTAGTACTGATGTATTTTGTTGGCTTCATTTTCTCCTCCTTTCCACGCAATAATAAGGCATCTCTATAAAATATCTTTGATGACAGTCCAACAGCTGTAAATTTCTCCATATCCATAATATATTTATCCTTAAAAATAATAGTCTCCAATTTAAGACAAGAGGATATTAATGAATTACCAGCTGCTACATTTGAATTATTGCTACATAAATCTCCATGGACATCTTGATGAGTTATGGACTCATCACCTACTCCATAGTGGCTACTTATTTGGCGTGTCATGTCAGATCTATTCGCTAAACGAAGGGATATAGACCTACGGTGAACCAGTTAAAAAGTTTAGGGACCTAAAAATTCAATTTGAAAGTTGATATTTCTGGATGACACACCACCAAAAGTTAATGATCCAGAAATGCAGTTTGAAAGTTGATGGACCTGGATGACACACCACCAAAAGTTAATGGACCCAAAAATGTAGTTTTAAAGTTAATGGACCTAGATAACACAAAACCAAAAGTTAATAGACATGCGGTGCATTTAACTCTAACAAGTACTATACACATGTTGTTATTTCTTTTTGGGAGGATTGTATCACTATCTGGTACAAAGTAATGAGTGGCAAATATGTGTGGTTTTATGTGAAGGATTAGGTCCTGTTTGAAACATTAGAATAATATTTTTCTGATCATGCGGTTGTTTCTATGTAATTGAACTTATGAAATTTCTATACATTTTTTATGAAATTTCTGCATTCCAGACGGATGCTCGTCATGTTATATTCATCGTAAGAGAACACTGCAGATCTGGGAGAGCTATAGGTGAGGGTCGCTTGGTTCGAGTAGCGCACTGAATAACAATGAAACGTCAAATCAGCTCGCGTAGGATACGGTAGTCAAATCCGTAGCTTTGCTTGAGATGGTAAAAGTAAAGAGCCGGCTGGTTCATCGAACATCTCCAGCTCCAACGATCTGATTTACTGGATATTTCAGATACGTTTGATACTACCAAGCAAACGTATACAACCTTCGTTCCCACGTCACTCCCATCACGAACACGAAACGAGACGGCAGATGCGAGAGCACCTGGAGTGGTGGCAATGGCATGCGACTACTATGCATAATGCATGCCAGGCACCAACGCACCAGATAGCGACGGGAGCAGAGCAGATGCAGGCGCTGCGGCCGGAGCAGCGACTTGCATCGTCGTCGTCCGCGAAAAGCCGCTGCGAGCTGGGCCGAGGAGCGGCCGGACTGAGGCAGAGGCATCGCATGCACGGCACGGGCACGGGCACGAGCACGGTTGACCGGCCGCCCGGAGCACCGGAGACCGGACTTGGCTTCAGTTCCGTTCCATGATCCCCATGCGTTGACCTGGTGTCCAGTTGGTTCCACTTTTCGTCTC